ACACCTGAATGCAAATCTACTCCCTGTACTTTTTTAAAGCCACACTACTCTCTCTTCTTCTAAAATGCTGTATCTTGCATTGTTTCTATTTAAAAATGCATTTTAATTGTGTAAATAAATCTTCAGCTAGAGTAATACTGTAACCTTAATTCTAACTTCCTAGAAATATCTGTTGAACAGGAACAACTGGGTTGACAACCTGCCTATTCTGAACACTACGTCAATTTTCTGCATGTTTCACAAATATTTTCACTCAATATGTCAGTTTGGAAGTTTAATGCAGTTATGAGAATTCAAATGTTACCCACACACACTAAAAATAAAGGGTCATTACTCTACTTTCTTCTGAGTACCTTGAATAAAAAACGATACAGAAATCCAACAATCCTTTTTACAAAGAAGCTGTAATTAAATATTAACGTCAGATTAAAAAATAAGCAATGGTGTAATTTCAAGATCTCCTACCTTGGTCGAATCAGAATGTTCAATTTTCTTTTTAGTTCCTGATGTTATTCCTTGTTAAGGAATTAAGCACTCATTAAACAGAATCATGAGTAACGTAAATTTAACTAACTCTCACTTGGGTGTCAGAATGTTATAAACATTAAAAGACCACAAATATTTGGAGGATGACACACTGAGCTCCCGTTTTGCTGCAGGGCTAGGAATTTAGACCCAAAAATTAAAATAGTTTTATCATTTCTCCCAATACATTCTAAGACGGGGTCAAGTCAAAACTAACAAGACTGAACATAAATGTTCTTCAAACAACAGTGTCCCATCAAGAGTTAAACAGCCATTCACTTAAGAAAAGTTTCCAAGCCAAAAGCATCATGATATGCGAGAAAGTAAATGCAGTGTAACAAACTGTTAATAACTTAAGAATCAAGGATGGAAATCTGTTTATTGTACAATCCTTTCAATCTGTATTTTAAATTTTTACGTTAAAAAATATAGAGGAAAAGGCATGCATAAAATATCAGACTTTGAAAATCTTTGAAGGTGATTTTCCAGCCGCTCTGAAGGGTCTTTTACACGTTTTAAAAGGAAAACTACTGGAACCAAAATTATCGTATATATAGTGAAAAAAGTCCTCTAAGAATGTAAATAAAAATACCAACAAAACTTGCTAGAAAGTCTGTAATCACGGAACTACTAGGCAAAAACGTCAACTTTTTTGGCGCGTTTTTCGTAAAGCTTTGCAATGCACCTTCAACACAGAAGCTATCTCCAAGTTGAACATCAGAATGAATCCCCAATCTTCATCAAGCAATTAACCAATTCTCTACGCATGCCTCGAATCCTTAAGGCCCCCAACCCTACATCTTAAGACCACTAGCTTTTGCTCCGCCATAAAAAGAAATAAACGCCACGATCTACGTATCCGGTATCTCCTAACACATAACATGATTGCATCAACTTTGGCTTGGCTGAAAAAAATGAAATCGGAAAACGACTCCAAAGAGGGGAGACAAGTGGTGACCAGTCTGCAATCTAACATTTGAAAGAATCTGAAATAATCCTAAAAACCGGCCTCAGTTTGGGGGACGAAAGGAGCCAATTTAGTTCTGGATACCGATCCCAGAAGCAGGGAGAGGTTAGCGCCGAGGCCCGGGGGACATCTGACGCAGCGCGAACCCTAGATTCTCAGCCCGCTTGCGGTACAGGGCGAAAGAAATTACTTAGAATTCTGGCCCTCTAGGAATTTCCGCCCGCGCCCTCCCAGGCAGGGATCCACCAAACGTCCCAGTGACAGGGCCCAGCGAGCGGGAAGGATATTCTCGGCGCGGAGCTGATCGATGGTTTCCTCGCACTGCCGGAGCCGCTCCCGCAGTTCCGCATCGGCAACCCCATTCTCGTCCTCCTCGCCGCCGCCGTGGTCCTTGAAGCGGGTGTGAATGGGCTTCAGAATCGACTCCTCTGGGTGGTCAAACGCCTCGAAAAGCTCTAGGTCACCAAAATCTACCTCTGCCGCCATTTTGGGCTGTGGGAAAAATTCGAGAAGAGGCGGAGCCGGCCACCGGGCCAGGGGCGAAGGTTGTAGGGCGGCACCGCTCTCTCGGTCCGGCAGCACTAAGCCATCCAGTAGAGTTTTCTCCAGACCTTAGGCCGCCCAAACTACACAAGGGGCATGCCAGTTTCGAGACTACGACTCCCAGAATGCAATGGCGACCCATACCCACTTCCTAGATCGCTCGGGAGCATGGCATGTTGGGAAATGTGGTTTCTAAGCGACTTTTAACTCATTGTTTGCATTGCATACTGGGATTGGTCCTTTCTAAAACAGCTGGTCTCGTTCAGAATGTGTTAAAACAATACGGATTATCCCTGCTATGCACCAAAGACAGAAAAATCAGAGCACGATGCTTGACCTTGCATAGATTCTGGGGAGCGTACTAAACAGCAAGAGAATAAGGAACTCGTTTTGCCACAGACTATCGGATCTTGGATAAGCTAGTTAAATGTATTGGGCTTGTTTCACTTTTTCATGAAAAACGGTCTTGGGTTTGCGATGGTTTCTCTCGTTCAGCCGCATTCGTTCAATAACATTTATCTAACCATGTTCAGTGTTCTAGGCACTGTTGTAGGACCTGAGGATGCCCACAGTGAGCAAAAGTAAATTCCTGCTCTTGTGGAGCCCGCAGTTCAGCAAAAGAAAAATGTGTCCCCACTCTTGGCTCGAGGTTGTTGATGGGTATTCATTAATGTGTGAAATAAAAACAAAGCTGTGGATATTTAACATAAACTTGACAATCTGCAGGAGTTACTGGGGCATTGTGGAAACGAGGTTTTAATTAAATTTGACAATCTGCAGGAGTTACTGGGGCATTGTGGAAATGAGGTTTTAATTATTAGTTTACCTAAAGTTGGTGGCTGACTGGAGGATGGAATTAAGAGCATCCTAGGCTGAAGAAACAGACGGAATTAAAGGGCATAGCAAGATGACCCTGGACCATTAGGCTAGTACTTCACAGATCACATTAGGGATCCTCTCTCCACCCCCAAAATTGGAAATTTCAACATTTTGAACAGGTTGTTTGTGACCCACAAATTTTCACTTTGATGATGCAGTCCTGATTGTACTATAGAAAAACAATTGGAGATGGAGCAAAAGTAAAATTTTAGGTCTAGTAGGTATTTTGTAGTCTACAAATGTTAGCTTGAATTAAGGTTGTGACAATAGCAGTGGAAAACATTTATAAGCAGGGGATATTCAAAAAATAGAACAGAGCCAATTGAAGGGCTGGATATGGAGAATGAGAAAATGGATCGTGAATACTTACCAGGACTTGACTTAAAAAACTGAATACATGATCATCTGAGAGAATAACAGCTGCACGGCAGGTTTGGGAGCAAATAGGGAGTTCCTTCTTTGGCTATATTGAGGCAATTTCATCCTCACAGGCAATAAAGAAGTAACCTAACTGGTAGAAGCAATTTTTGAAGCATTTGGTTTAAACACATCATTGGTATATTGAAGGCAAAATCTGAGACCCCAGTGGAGATGTTTATTAGGCAGTTGGATCTTGGGTGAAGTTCTGAGAACAAGTCTGATCTGAGAGTCCCAAGTTTCTATAGGAAGTAAATGAAACCGTGATGAGGATGCTTAACAAAGCATGAAGTGAGAAAAGTCTAGCCTGAGTCCTGAGAAACTGAAGGGTGGGATTGAGGACGACTACAGAAATTGATGAAAGGCCAGTGGTAGAACTAGGATTGAGTCCCATAGAAATTATATTGAAGTATATACTTAAATATCTTTTGGCCTATTAAATTCTCATTACCTTGGAATGATACAGTGACTTGTTTCCATCTCTGTGGTACCTCTAAAGTATTATTCCATAAAGCTTAATAGAATCAAAATCCATCACCCAAACTGGAAACGTCTTTGAATTGGCCCTTCTTAACACCCACCTATACACAACTACCAAATTCTACACTACCTTCCAAGTTACCCCCAAAGCCAATTGTTAACATCATCGTCCAATGTATGGTCTTCTAGTCTTACTGCCCTGCCTAGCCACATCTTTAAGATACACACTGGATCTCAAAAATAAGTGTGAAAATAAGAATGTAAAATTTCAACTAAAAATAGATGTCATTTTAGATTTTTATTAACTAAAATTAGCTTATACTTGGCTACTGAAAGTTTTTTAATTACTGTTCTGTATGAATGCAGGATGGAGCATACCATTTTTATAGTGTCCAGGCAATTCCTAAAATACTGTAGAAAAATACAAGCAGCAGTTAACATGTGCTCTTACCCACATTGCATTACAAGCCCATGAAACTTTCTAATGAAACTTGTGGTGTACCTAAACAAAAATGTAAATTTGTTGTAACTCCAAAATGAAAAACCATGGTGTCATTTCCACAGAAACTGGACTTTGTCACAGAAGCATTAAAAGCCGTTTCTCCACAAAGTTATGCCCTGGGAAACTACATTTCCCGAAATACACTAAACACCTTATAATACAACTTTAATTACAAAAAACATGTCTAATAAGTTAGATTTAGTAACACTAAACACCTTATAATACACTTTTCATTATCACAAAAACATGTCTAGTAAGTTAGCCAAACTTAGCAACTCCAGTTTTAAAGATAAAGGTGTTAAGTTTTACCACCATAAGCAGTCTTCCCTCATTATACTGTGCTACCACACTGTGGAAATATTTTCCAAAGGATTTTTCTAGAGAAAGGCAAAAATTATGACTTTATGGTTACGAAAGCAAATGAACTAAAACTTCTGTAATCCCCTCCTCCTCTACCAAACTTATGTATGCCCTTTTCAATTTAGTGACATGGTAGTTTCTCAGTTTCAGTACTTTGAGACTTCAAAGGGATAATGAGCAAAGGGCATACAAAGAACTTGTTATAAGGCACTTTATTAAAATAAAAGTGCTTACATCCCTCTAATGTATTAATCTATTTCCTGAATAACATAAGGAATATTTAACAAATACTGTACACCATTTGTCCCTTATAATAGGAAAACAGTATTACTTCAATAAATTTATTTACTCTCCCCAAGTTTTACATTTTTTGCTCACCATATTAGAACAAAGGTATTGTTCTTTGAAAAAAAATCCTCGCCAGTGTTTTCTAATAGCGATTACAAAATGCTACAAGAAATCATAAAACAAAAAAGAATTCCAGGTTAACTTAAATTAACACCAGTTTTGAGAAAACCATTTTTATTATCATCACCACCCAGCTTATTTTTGCTGGATTATGTACCAAATGGTCAGATCTTCTAAAGAACATCTACATAACATTTCATTCATGTTTTCAAGAGATGAAAATAACTGTACAAGGTTAAGTACAAAAGTACACAAAGACAGCGGACACGAAAAATCCATGTATGAGATTTTATCCCACCTGCAGCTTTTATGTATCTGAAAAGTAGAATTCATAAACTAAAAAATACTGTCCTTCTACAGTCAAGTTTAATGGAAGTGTGTTTAACCTGATTACAACACTAACACCAGTATCACTGATCTGATATTTACAAAAAAATCGTATTTTTCAATAAATTAAAGTCAATGCAACACCCATGCAAGCTAGAATGCTAGCTGTTTGGTGAACAAGGACCTGACATCAGAACCAGAAGTCTTTAAAGTCCTGAACATTAAGTGTGATCTTTCTCAAACTGTATCCATTCCTCGCATTGATGATGTGAAACCCAATCCCATCCCTCTTTGTGTATGGGTCTGTGATCTTGCCATTTCATACTGAGCATCTAGATTTCTAAATACTTCTTCTTGTTGCTTCAAAGTCTTGTAACTTTCTTCATCAACCGAGCTACAACCAGCTTCATCTTCACTCTAAATATCAAATACAAAATATATTATTACTAAAATAAATCCAGTCAAGAATAAAGTATTTATCTCATTTAACAGTACTGAGGCAAATTACATTTTGAGGATACATACTTGACCTCAATTACTTAGCTTCCACTCATTCATTCAACACTCACTGAGTGCAAGGCAATGTTGTACATACTGAGGTACAGGAGGAAGTAACAAAAATCAACGAAAAAAAACATAGAGAACATTCAGCCAACGTGTAAAACAAGTGCCTTGGAGAAAAGTAGAAAATGAGGGACGGAGTGCTTGCTGTTTTAAAAAAGGTAGGAGAAACGTCTCTTAGGTGGACTCTTCCTGGGGGGAATAATGCAGTGAAGTCTAGCTTCAAGGCAAATGCAAAGGTCCTTGGACATATTCAGTAACAGCCAAGCATAGCTTAGGTTCAAGCTAAACACTCTCTCAATGAAAAAACCAAGTCTTAGCAATAAATAATGCCTGAGCATTTGTGGACTTGTACAAGAGCTAATTAATGATTGTGTTAATTTAAATTGAACAATTTGTATTCTCAACTAGTAATAATATATTGATTTAGTTAATTCTATAAAATCTATTTGGTGAATAGAACAAAAAAGCACCAGAAAGTACCCACAGTTGACATGTCACTGAAATAACTTTTAAGCTGAGACCAATGTTACCTAAAAAGTCAAGTGTAAGTTTTAATTCAGAGTGAGTAACTCACCTTAATACCCATTAATTTTCTAAATTTGACATTTTGGTCCTTGTTTCCAAAATTCAATTTTTCCCAAATTTCAGCAGACTGGGATTTGTCCTGTTAAGTAAAACAACTTTTAGAGTATGTAAAATTTAAGTATATTAGGGTATTATATTTCTCCCTAATTTAATAATAGCATTTAGAACATGGTATCAATGGAATTCATTAAGATTTCTATTATATAAAAAAAAAACAAACAAGGAAATATAACTACTTCAGAGTATATATTCTATGGAAAAACATACAGTAAGGTTCTTTCTCCTTAATATAAGTATGGTAATACTTGTTTTTTTTGGAAGCTTGACTTTGATCATACATTTTTTAAAGCATCAAATAATCATGGCAAATCAAAGTATTTCAATCAGACTCTCAAAAGATAAATTCATTTCCAATTCGAATTTGTTTTTCTAATCGCTAGTTAGGAATATATGACAAAACAAAAGGAATAAAAGAACTTACCCCTTCTTTCTTGCCTTGCCAAAGCATTTTCCTTTTTTTCTCTTGCTCAGCAAACTTCATTGGATTCACAGCAGCTGGATTATAGTAACTAGGTACAGCTATTCCGGTCTCTGCCAAAGCCTTTGCCTGCAGGGCGGCCATCTGAGCTGCCATAGCTATCTGAGGAGTTACTTGTGTTCCTGATGCCAACAGGGCAGCAACGTTGAGCACAGAACCTCCTGTAGCTGCAGCTGCTAAGAGAAAAGTACAGGTTTTAAGACTAAAACAAACTTGATTTATAGTCAATAATTTATATGAACTATTAATCTGCAAAACAGCAAGATTTTCACCAAATGTAAGGAAATGACTAGGCATTAACTTATAAAGCAGTTAACATTTTAGCAAACATTTATTGAACATATTCGTCAATAGACATTTCTATATATCCCTTTTATGCACTAAAACCTTATTTACTTCTATGCAGATGAAGAGAATCCTGCAAATAGTAAAAAGGTGTATTTCAATGGAAATGAACTAGGATGCTTGTAGTCAAACCTGTAGCAAATTAAAACCATGTTTGTACAGTGTAGAACAGAGAAGGCAAATTGTGACTTTGTGACATCTTACTACTCTGATGGACAGTGACTGCAACTGGGGTGTGGGGGAGGGAACTCTATAATATGGGTGAATGTAGTAACCGCATAGTTTTTCATGTGAAACCTTCATAAGAGTATATATCAATAATACCTTAATAAAAAAAAAGAAAAGGCACACTAAGAAAGTTAAAGGCCTTGGGGCTGGAGCTTGCTTAACAAGTTCAAAGGAAAGCAAGGAGAAAAATGTGGCTGGAGCAGAGAAAACATGAAAGAAACTAAGAACAAACATGAGAGTAATGGGGGAAAAGTAGGTTATACATAAAGTAGTAAATAATTGGAAGAGCAATTTAAGGACTTTGGTTTTCACTCTTAGTAATGTGAAACCACTGGAGGACTATATATATAAATGACATATTTTAAAAGAAAAAAAACTTATTTGTACAGTTCTTGATAGCTTACAGATTAAAAATACCTCAACTGAAACTTACAACATTTAAAAATGTTAAACAGTTTATTTTTTTTGCTAGTGCAGAATATAAACTCATAAAGTTCTCAAATTACTAACATTATGCGAATCCAGTTATGATAGTTTTATGATTATGTATTAAACTGCAATTTGCAAAATTTTAGATAATTTAAGTATCACCATTTACAAGAAATACCAAAAAACAAAAACCACCTTCTAGATTAGTTCATATTAACCAGTAAGCTTCTCTGATCACCTTACATCATTCACAATGTTTGTTATGTCTAAAAAAACTTAATGTCCTTAGACATAAACTTATTCCAGTTTATCATCTACTTAATACCCAAATTTATAACTAAAAGACATGTCAGTGATGGCTAAAGTGCTACAAGAACAATAGTCACTATTCACTTGTCAAATTTATCTGCATTAACCATGTCAGAAATATGAACGCATAAAGAGATTTTATAAGGTATGAAAGTAACTTTCTTGTAAAATTAACATGTATACATTTAGTAATAGTTGGCCACTAACAACAGGTTTCACTGGTATGGATCCACTCACATGCAGACTTTTTTCAATAAATACACTAGAAAATTTTTGGAGATTTACAATAATCTGAAAAAAAATTTTTCCTCTACTTTATTGTATGAATACATCTTATAGCATACAAAATATGTTAACTATTTATGTCATAGATTAAGACTTATAGTAGGCTATTAGTAAAGTTTTGGGGGAGTAGTTACATGTGGATTTTCAACTATATTGGGGGGATTGGCGGCCTAACCCCCATGTTGTTCAAGGATAAACTGTAATTAAAAGATGTTTATAGCATGCTGATGGGTAGTAAGAATCACAGATACTTTTCTATTACTTTTCTGAAACCTTTCAGATTTTCTTCAAATACCATAATTCCACAATTTAAAAAATTACCTGCAGCTATTTCTTGTTGTTTTTGTTTTTCAACCATTTCCTTTTCTCGTTGTTCTTGTAATTTCTTTGCCCTTTCCAACCTGTCAAAGACAATTTAAATAAATTTAAAATAACACTCAATATAAAACCAGCATTTATCTATGTATTTCTCTGTATGTGTATACAAATGTAGACACAGAACACCTTATACAGAATTTTAAATTAGATTTAACAAAACTGGTATCAGAATGTGGAAAAAAAGCAATGATTCTTAAGAAGCTATCAGTCATAGTAAAGAATATTTCAATATTGATTTTAAACATTTTTTAAATCGCCGAATAGTCAAAACTAAATTTTTATATACAGCTACGACAGAAAACGGTTAAAAAATGAGAAGTATTCAATCGTTATCAGTGTTGGCTATAAGAGTAAGGATAAAATCAAATCTTGCATATAACACTGAGCTGAATGAGCAGATTTTGGGGTATTTTATAGAGTAACCTAAATGGTCTTGGGGGAGGCTGGTAGAATATAAGGCCAAAAACATGCAGATAATGATTTCTGTATTTAAACAGATTATATAGTCTTTATATTAAGAAACCAAAATAAAATTTTTAAAGGGCAAGCAAACCCTGATTGCCATTCTCTATAACCTAATAAAATAGGGGAGAAAATGCAGTATTAAGAAATTACTCTTAAGGAGCTGAAGAAATTTATCATTACCAAAGAAACTGGAAATATAAAACATACATTTATCTGAAGATTAAATATGAATTCTGGTTCACACTAAATTCACTAATAAATACATACACTTCTTACTAAATGTGCTATCAAATCACATATTTCCTATATATATTAACAAGTCAAAAGTAATGCTATTTTCATGAGTTCCTGAAAGAAACCACTTTTCTTCAAAGAATCCTTGATTTTCCAACCACAAATTAAATGTCAGTGCTTCGTCCTACTATGTGGCAAGGATTAGAAAAAGCTTTTTTTCTGTTTTGAAACATCCTGAGTAGTAAAACACAGTGGCAATAAATTGGCATATTGCATTTGTTTTCACAGTTGCTGACATTTACCTAAAAGAAATGTAACAATCTACTGATTCTGTTCCCTTTTATTGAGTACATGGCAAGAAAGACACATTATAAATTTGAATTTGTTCTTGGGAATAAAAGTTTCTGATTAGGGTCAATATTAAAATGTAGGTTCACAGATATTAGAAGTATTTCTAAAGCAGTTTTGAAATTCTGTCCTTATTCAAAAACAAAAAGGAACAAGCAAAAAAAAAAAGGTCTATATGCTGTAGTTTATTATTTATAAAAGACTCTCCGCTTCAAATTTCACAGAAGCCAAGGAGTCATCTAGTATTCTGAAATTAAAATATTTCATGTAAACCTGTCATCTGAAAACCACTAAGACTTTAAATCAAAAACAGTTTTAGATGCTAGTAACAGCTTCACCTTTAATAAAACCCAGAAGTTAAAACACAATGAGCTTATTATATAAGAATAAATTTTAGGACTTAAAAAAAAACTTGTCAGAGTTAATGGGCCATTCTTTATAAATTAGTTCAAATACTGTAGTACATTATTTACTACATCTATTGATTTCAGTTTCAGAAAGAAACTATGACTACCACTGATTGCATATGTAAAATGGTCATTGCAGGTTTTGAATTAACACCATTCACTGAGGTGAATGGAATGAAGAAGGGGTGAGCTTACACCTTTGCTGCTGCTGCTCAGCTGGGGTTTCTGCAAGGCTGGGTTCACAGGGCAGCAGCCCATCAGCTTACATTGTGATAACTGTATTTTTGTAATGAAAAAAAAAAAAAAGACTCAATTTCATAAAGGAAAAAAAAAAAAATCAAGAGTATAGTTTTTGCAGAATATAGGAAAACCTGCAAACAAGTGCTTGGATTTGACTTTACTTTGTGCCTCTTTACACGAAGCAGTGTTTCAATGGTTTTGCAGATTTCAGTCGGACAGCCCTACTGTGTGTCCCCACAATAACCCATTTTTGAAATACTAGAAAACAAACATATGACCTCCCTATGCTAGCAGCGGTAAAATTTACAAGATCAAATAAATTGGCATATTGTTTATTTACCACTTTCAAAATTAGAAAAGTATCATCAGAATTCTACTTGTTTCAGAGATTCGTTTTCTTGAGGAAGACAAAACAGTTTTAAAGGGAAATTGAACAGAGTTCTTAAGTCAGATTTAAGATTTGGAAAAAGTTCTAGCTGCAATCTAAAAATATTTAGGAGCCCAAATTTGAGAAAAATAGATACATTTACCATGAAGGAAAAAGAAACTGCTGCAGACATTGATATCTTTCCAGTTATGCAAGCAAATAAATGTTAAAAGATGAGAATTAATAACAGTCAACTCACTCAGTTTCTAGACCACAAAGATACCATAGCATTCATTCTGTCCACAATCAACAACTTCAAGTTGAAATTGGAAAAAAAACATCAAATAGAAAATATACACACACCTCCTAGCTAAAGCCTCTTGTGCATCCATTGCTGTGTTTCTGCCTCTGAAGGGTGGTGGACTAGGAGTTCTGCTTAAACTTCTACTAAATCTTCTTGGCTTTTCAATTCTCTTCTTTCTATCTCTGTAAAATATCATATTTTATATTTACATGTCTCAGTATGACCAGGTAATAATAACTAGTTTGTTGAGAATCAACCAATATCAATTATATTTACATGGTTCAACAAAAATCAAAATGGCATAGGAAATATATTTTGAACCCTTTCTTTTCCACCGCTGTCCTACATCTTCAATAGGTATCCCAAGTCCTTGTGCATACGGCTAGCTTTCTGTAAGCTCATGTAACCACCCATTACACGAACATTTAGGTTGTTTCCAATCTTTTGCTATATGACACTACAAAGGCTATCCTTGTACCTTAGTCATTTTATATTTGTGTTGGTCAGTATGTAGGATAAATTCCTAGCAGTAGGATTGATAGGTTAAATGTTCCTACTATTTAAATCTACAATGAATCAATTTGTAGATGTTTTCAAAAATATAAAGTGTAAGTCACTGAAAGTAAGAATTGGAAAAATAAAAGATAAAAAACAGTCATCAAAATAAAAGGTATCAATGACTAAAACAAGGAATGCTATAAATAATGACAAGCCAAAAAAAAAAAAAGACAGGCATTGCACAGCTATTAAAAATTAATGGCAATTAATGGGGAAATTACCATTTACCTTAGACTTACTAAACCTCATAATATTATAGCTCTAAACTATCACAAACTAGTCATTCATTAAAAACTGATAAACTGTTCAAACAAGTGATAAACCAAGTTACTGTAGTAAGTTTAAGTTCAGTTTTACCTGTATTTATTTATAGATTGACTTAACAATAAATCACCAGAAACCTTTTCTAGTACTTCACTATCTTTGAAATAGATATTAAATTCAAATGTCTTTGAATATATTTCAAATGCAACTAAAAACAGAGTAATTCTTACCTAAGTACAGAACATACTACATATATAATTTTAAAAATTTCCCTGTCAACTGTATCATACTTCCCAATTAACAAATTAAAGCCTAGCCTTCTCCCCATCAAGATGGGTCTGAATTAGGCTCATGTTTATTATGACACTACAGTATGGGAGCTTAAACATACATATTGACTCTGCATTCAGACTCAGTTCTGGCTTTATCATTTAATAAATAAGCTTTTGGGCCTCTTGGGCAATTAAAAAAAAACCCTAAGCCCAATAGCTTTAGCTCACAAAATGGTTATTTTGAGAGTCAGACAAGCTAATATACGAAAAGAGCTCTGCCTTAATAGGACATGATAGGCACACAACTGTAATATTGTGATAATAAAATTAGCATGAAGAATTCAGCATTCAAAACATCTTATGTAATTTCAATGGACTATTTATACCTGCACTTTACAGGACAACATCTGATCAAATGGAAATACATAATTGGTCATGATGTGACTAAAATACTTAGTCACATCTATTTAAAATAAAACTCCAATCCACAATTTAATAATTTCAGATTAACAGAACATAATAAATAGACCCTATGAGGGGCCTATTTGATTTTATTCATGATAATGAACACCTACCGACTTCTACTCCTTGTCCTACTCCTGCTTCTACTCCTATGCCTATGTCTTGATCTTGAGCGGGAACGAGATCTGATCCGACGTTTTCTTTCCCTGCTTCTGGATCGTGATTTCTTCCTCTCTCTGCTTCTGGATCTTGACTTCTTCCGCTCCCTACTCCTGGATCGAGACTTCTTCCTCTCTCTGCTTCTACTGCGATGACGCCTGAAATTGAAGTACAAAGTGTGTCTTTTCAATCATAGCCCATTATGAATGAGTTATATGTAGTGTATGCAGCAGTCAAGGCAGGCAATAAGCTCTGTATTGTGTACAGAAAGTATAATTTGTTTTTAATGGAAGGAGTTTTAACAAAAAAATGGACCTTTCTTCTTAGTTGTTGTTGCCTTCCAGGTAACGTAGTAAAGCTGTTAACATGTCAAAAATAAAACACATTCCATCCCAATTAAAGATTCTAATAGTTTAAAAAGTTTAGTAATTTGAACAGCTTAGTATCTGTTGCCTTAGCAAGTCTTTAAAAGAGAATACATAATCTACTACTGAAAATTGTTTAGCAAATCTATGTTAAACACTGACTTTTTAAAAAAAATTTCACAAATTTGAGCCATGACCCAGTTTCTCAAATATCTTTTCAAGTATACAAGGCACTCTATAGAGTTCAGCAGCAAACAAATCCTACATCAATAATGTAGAAAGGACTGTAATATTGACTTAACTACATAAACAATTCAGCTATGACTATTTTCATTCCATGCGACAAATCCAAAAGTTAAAAAAAAACAGATGTATAGTCCCTAACAGGTTAATCATGATCATCCCTTGTCCTCAGTCTTGGACACTACTGGCCTTTATACAAAAGTAAACCCAAAAGACTTCAGCTTCCGTTAGCAGACATTAGTGGGCAAATAGGTCATTAGAAAAAAACCAATTAGTAAGCTTTTGGAGATATTGTTGGGTATATGACAAAGTTTATGCAATTTAGCTCTTTAGATGGCACTAATTTATGAACACCAAAAACTACTTACCTTTCACGAGACCTAGATCTTGAATGACTTCTGCCTCTTGATGACTTCCTTTCTTTGCGTTTGTGTCTGTCCTCACCATTTTCAGATGAATTTAATCGTTCTCTTCCTTTATCAGAAGAATGTTCTTTATCATTATGTTCCTCAGACTTGTGTTTCTTAGAGGATTTATCTTTGGATTCATGTCTTCTTGCCTGTTTTAAGAAGAAGTTGGTTCTTTCAGGAAAATAGTGCAACAAAGAGAGTTAGTATGGGTATCAGTAGACAAAAAATGTTGTGATGCAACATTAGTAACCTTAGGAGTATGTGTCACAATAAAAAAAAAATCATCTAGTTTTACAGCACCCAAATGCTGAGGATGAATACTACTAATTTTTTTCTTTATAAATCCCAAAATGCAGCTGCCTCCCCCAAATATTTTTAATACAATTAAAACAATGATTTTCAATGCTGAATAGTGAAAAACCGTATGTCAGAAAAAGAGGAATCCCTAATGTTTATCTAAAAGACTAAGTACACATGTATCAAAACTTCCAAATTTTCCAACAACCTTTTAGAGATAGAGACCATATATACATCAACTTCTAAATGCAGAGTACATAAATAATTAAGTTTAGTTAACAATAATGAAGATAAGGACACAAAGAAATGCAACAGAAAACGCATTTCAAATCAGATAGCTAAGTAAAATTTATCTTACTAAATATCAGTATTTTCTGCAATTTCAAAATTACACGGAATTGAAGTGTCCTTTTTATAGCTATACTGCCACGTCCTCTCTAAAAGACGGCTCTTGATTTTTCTCCCAATGTCTAAACTGTGAAGCAATCACTTTTCATCTTGCAATATCCCAACAGGCTTGGAGTTCTATACATTTCATGTACCTAGGGTAGAAAACGGCAACCACATCTGTTTAAATTTTTTAGATCAAACTAAGTATAACATAATCAATCCCAATACCATTATACAATACATACTTCCCCCATACTCTGAAAAATTAAAAATCAAGGCTTTTGCTTTCACAACATAAACATTCAGAGACTGAATTAAAATAAAATTAATTGTATGATCAAGTCTCCATCCTACACTCACATACCAAATTAGTAAATGCTCAACATTAGTTTTCCCCACATTAAAATTTGTCAAATCCATCTTGTAACTACAGCTTAAAACCCTGGACATCTCAGAATCTTAATTTGTTAAAGCTGGAAGAAAACTCAGATCCTCTAATTCCCCTTCTTTTATGTATGATTTAAAAGTCACAAAGCTACATGGCAGCAAAGCTGAACCCAGACCCCATTTCTTCTTACACCCAGGTCACCACTTTCCCACCATAATAGGATACTTATATCTATCTCAGGTTTCCCAAAACAGGCCATACCATATTTCTTTTCCATTCATGATTAACTTTTCTTAAAAACAAACAAAAAATGTTGGCCAATCATTTTGAAACATGCATGATGATATATCTGAGAAGGGTAGTAGCATGTACTTCATTATTTTGTAGAAAAGAGACCTGGAGACACAGCTAATTTTAGTTTCACTGCCAGTTCTCTATCATGAGGTTATAAAAGAGTATTTCCTTGATTTTGCCATATAGCAGCAAACTGGAAAAGCTTTTGAGTGGTTAAACTTCCAAAGGTTTTAGAGTCTATTTCAAACGCGTTTTCCAAACATTAACTATTCATTAAAAACCAAAAACCAAAAACATTAAAACCCTTAACTGATTTAAGATATACTTAAGGGAAATAGGAGTTTGAATGACTAATAGTTACCTTATCATGAAGTAGGCTTATTATTTTGCTATCTGAGTCTGCAGCGTCTTCAGTTCAGTCTCTTCGCGCATTAGCACGCTGAGTATGATTTATTATAGAAATGTTATCATGTGAGCTAAACAAAATAGTCATTTTCACAAAAACTCTCCTAAATTAAAAATTTAACAGAGCTTCCATTAGGGAAAGAGGTGAAGTCCCTGCCCATGTTTGTTTTAGGAGTCCCTTGCCCAGCCCCCATAAGACTCTTCTCCCTTTTTGGTTGTTACTTTGCTCTTCCTTGTTGGCTCATTCCTTGTCTTCTCAGGTGGGTGAATAAGTTAACTTCTCTGCAATACAGCTGCTGTCTTTGTTTTTCCTCAACTTTTGCTGTCACCGCCACCTTTCCAGCTGGCCCTACTGACAGTTTTATTTCAAAATTCAATACTAGTATTAAGGAAATAGAACTTTTTACTAATGAAAAGAGGACACCTGTTATCTTCCATAAGAAAAAGTAGCCCGTAGATACCTAGGGTATAACTACTTAAAGATGATGGCTATTTAAAAATCCTTCAGGAATTAAGGAGACTCGGGACCTCAGATTAATGGAAGCTCTGTGTGACAGGCCTAAAAAAACCAATTATATTCTTCATATGAAATTTTCATTGTGAATATTTTCACAACATAATAAAATTAATAGGTTTTGAATGAACTTTTCATACAAACAACTATCTTCTTGAAAAATGATGAATCCAAATCATGCTTATTTTATAACCCAATTAACCTTTAAAATTTCAAGTTTCGGTACTTACCTTGACAGTATCACATTCACACAAACATTTCTAAGAGATACTTTACAAGTATTTTAAAGTGCCTATTCACTACAAAGCATTAATTACCTCTTTGCTTCTGCTCCGGCTCCTGTGTTTTCTTCCTTCATTTTCTGTGAAAACACAAAAATCCACCATAAACAAAGACACAGACATCTCAAATTTCAGTACTCATACAAAAAAAAACATTTCTAGTCCATCTGGCTAAAATTCTACTAATCATCTTCCACAGATTGTATTTTTTAATACAGTGGAATTTATTGTAATTTTGTTATAATTCTTAATATAGTGAGATTAATGTAACAGGGTGGAATTATTTTACACTTTAACACTGTACACATTTAAAACAGATCAACCAACGTAAACAAACCAGAATATAATCAAGTGACAGGGGCAAAAAAAGGTTCCATGACAGGTCAAAACAAACACTTTTACAATGGAGTCACAGATTAATTTTTAAAAAATATTCTAAGGGGAACCCTCCTACACTGTTGGTGGGAATGTAAATTAGTTCAATCATTGTGGAAAGCAGTATGGAGGTTCCTCAAAATGCTTAAAATAGAAATACCATTTGACCCAGGAATTTCACTTCTAGGAATTTACCCTAAGAATGCAGCAGCCCAGTTTGAAAAAGACAGATGCACCCCTATGTTTATCGTAGCACTATTTACAATAGCCAAGAAATGGAAGCAACCTAAATGTCCATTGGCAGATGAATGGATGAAGATGTGGTACATATACACAATGGAATATTATTCAGCCATAAGAAGGAAACAAATCCTACCATTTGCAACAACACAGATGGAACTAGAGGGTACTATGCTCAGTGAAATAAGCCAGACGGAGAAAGACAAGTACCAAATGATTTCACTCATATGTGGAGTATAAGAGCAAAGAAAAACTGAAGGAACAAAACAGCAGCAGAATCACAGAACCCAAGAATGGACTAACAGTTACCAAAGGGAAAAGGACTGGGGAGGATGAGTGGGAAGGGAGGGTTAAGGGAGGGGAAAAAGGGGGCATTACAATTAGCATGTATAATGTGGGGGGGGGCACGGGGCGGGCTCTGCAACAGAGAAGTAGTGATTTTACAGCATCTTACTACGCTGATGGACAGTAACTGTGAAGGGGTATGTGGGGGGGCCTTGGTGAAGGGAGGAGCCTAGTAAACATAATGTTCTTCATATAAAATAAGAAAAAAAAATTCTAACTAGCCCATCTTTTTTCTTAGTCCATAACTTATTTATAAAGGGGCTTGCTAGGGGTAAATAATTAGAGGGTAACAATTCAAGCAGCTTACTAGAGGTAAACAAGAATGCCAGAGAAAATAAGCAGGTGGTACCACATTTGGTATGGTATAAGTAGTCAAAATGACAGGATACTCTTGTTTAGAAATATTTCCATTCTAAACTGGTTATACTACTACTGTACAGTTTCAAATATATGAAAATTACATTTGAACCATTTTGTAGATGGTTACTTGTGGGTGCAAAGGGTAAGTAACTATAGAGTCTAGGTCTTAAAACCTTAACCTCATTATTTCTTAAAACAGCAAAGAATCATGCTTTATACAGCATCGTCTGTTTTTTTTTTTTTAAGTAAATAAGGAGCATCTGAAAATGTCAAACTCTTTCTTCAGAGATATTAGCATCAAGTTAAAAAGAACAAGGTTAAAAATCTTGTAGCCATGCCAAAGGATATTTAAAAAAATTCAGAATATACCACTGACCACATTTTTCAAAATGTACCAATGTTGAAAGAATGAAACTTAAGCATCTCAGGGCTGACAAATAGGAACTGTAACACAAAACATACATTTTTGCTTTTGGACAAGTTATAAAATTTCTGCATTAGAACATTCATATTCCTCATAACCAAAAATTCTCCAAAAAATTACCAATGTACTTTCAGTACAATTTTTTCAACCAAGAACACACAATATAAACTAAATTTGTGTCTTATACACTTCTACATGGATTATAACAACTACGCTGGAAGTGCTAATTCCCATTTCCAATAATGCATACCTGACTTTCGTTTTCTTTCTCTTGACCTTGATCGTGATCTTGAGTAGTGATGTTTTGAGGTTCTAGGAGAAACGGATACATCTGACTGCTCTTTTTTCTTATCTCTATCTGGGGATGTCTTTTCTGGGGCTAGTCCATCTCGTTCTGTATCACTAGCCTAAAAGTTTAAAGGAAAATAATTATAAATTCTTAATTATATTTAAAATGTTAAGTTTTAAAAAGGGAAGGAAGTTATCCTTGAGTTAAAGCAAAAAAATGACCAGAATGGATTATTTCCAAGTAGGTAAATATGCTTTGTACCTGATTAATAAGCCTGAATAAAATGAAATAACTAACCAATACCAAAGGGACATATGTAATCAGACTGATACATCTTTAATTTTTTCATCTTTATTTTATAACTTTCAAAACAATGGGGAAGGGGAAATAAGGGCTCCAAGTATTTCCAATAAACATTTAAGCAGAGAAATATAGTCCACTTTATTTAACTTTAAATTAAGGTATCGTTGACAGACAATCTTATGAAAGCTTCACATGGGCAACATCGTGGTTTCAACATTTGCCCATATTATCAAGCTCCACCCCCACCCCACTGCAGTCACTGTCTATCAGCATAGGAAGATGAATATAGTCCATTTTAAATTTGTGAACTCACTTAGCTGAATTTACAATATTTTATTTTAAATTTGCATATATCAAAAAAGCATTTTAAATGAGCTGTTAAAAGAGACTCAAGGCTGTAAAATCTTATAACAGCAAAGAGAATGTGCTTCTAAATGTTATAAAAGAATAAACAGAAAATTAACTTACCTATCTGAGAACCCAATCTTAATTTCATTAACCCTCTTTAATGAAAACAGCCCCTTGGCACAGTGCTGCTGCAAAATATGGTCTGCCTCTCCTCATATATGCTCTGGGCTATGGAAACATTAAGTTGTTTCTGCTTTAAAGCATTTGTAAGTTATCACAATATAAATTTTTTAAAAATTATTAAAACAATAGTCAGGTGTACACACTCTTTCCCAGAAACCTGATTTACCTAGAAGTTCTTTTATCTAATCCGTTTTTCCAGTTTACAGAAGGCAGTTTCACTTGTCTTGTTCGTTGACATAGTAATCACCATAGAAATCAAATGTGAGGAAGAATTCCAGGTATTAGTTTTCCATTAAAAAAAGGATCTCTGTGACAGCTGAACTGAGTGGTTTAAATTACACGAGTATCACAATGGAAGAAACTGACTTAAATGAGTCAGATTTTTATAAAAGGCAGGGGAAAAGGTTTCAGTAATATGTGGAAGGTGGACAGTGGAGACCTACCAGACTAGAGAGGGAATATGAAAACAGTCAATATGCTGGGGGAGTTGATACTCAGGAAACAGGGTAGCAAAGGCCCTTGAACTAAGAATGATTTTTACCTTTTTTAAATAGGGTTAGAGCAAGCTAGCCAAGAATGTGACAAAGACTGTATGTGGTCCACAATGCTTAAAATATTTATCATGACTTTTACAGAGAAATCTTGATTGAATAATTACTATACATGTTCACCAACAGGAAAAAAAAATCAGGATAATAAATTTCTCTTTTCCTTAGGAGCATTAGTCCAGAAAACAATAAGCTAAAAGGGAGTGTTTTATCAAATGAGGTTAAGAGAGGTTGCATTATCTCAACTATTTACTGAGGGGGGAAAAATGTACCAAACCCGATGCTTGGACTCCAGGAATAAAATGACGAAAGGGAGAGATTAGTTGGGATAAAAAAAATTATGTGTTAAGCCTCTAACAATGGTTTAAAAAAACAAGTGAGAAATAGAAACTAACTGCTGGGAAGGCTCTCATTCCTTCTCCATTTTTCTATGAATAGGTCATCTCCAGAATCATACAATTTTTGTGCTGAAAAGGCTTTCATCCCTTAGAACAGTGTTCAACTTTGTCATTTCACAAATGAGATCCAGCAACATTAATTGACTGGCCTAAGATGGTTACTGTTTACAAATGATGCTGTATATCACACAAAGATAATTCAGATTTTCACAAAACTGGTCATTTTATTTTATTCTCATCACTCTCCTTACAGATTATTTCATATAGAACTATGACATAAGTGTTGGTAACGTCTACACTTAGCAAAATAAAAGTAATCATAAACTTTAAGCACTGCAATCACTTCTGTCAATGCACGCTGCTTTTCTATATGCTGACAGCACTCCAGAACTACTGGTACATCTTACTCACTTTTATGGAGATCCTAACTACAATTGTAAACAACCTTTCCACGGAAAAATCAGCACCTAGCCCGGGCAGTAAACATTTTCAGTCAACGGTTTATTTAACTACATGCTTAACATTACAGATACCTGGCAAGAGGGGTCAAATGCCCTTGATTTAAGGGAAGGCACCCTGTTATACAGGCTAACAACCTACATCAAACAGCCATTTTAATCTGTAAAATATACTAGAGGACAAGAAAAACCATCTTACCACTAAACAGATTTGAATGACAAATGGCCACCTAGCCCATGCAACACTTTTATTTCCATTGAGGGTATTTATAGTAGTATGATGAAAATACCCCGCAAAATTAAACTACTTGAATATTAAAACTTATCCCAAAGTTTCTATGCTTTATTTTAATTTAGTAGATATCTATATATAAATTTAAATTCTAACTGCAAAACTGCCCTCTACTCTAGCATGTGGTAGAAGGCCACCAGTTTTAAAATTTACATTAGTGTTTAAAACCTTAATACTACTCTCTCAAGACAGTAGTATACAAATCTCTTTTCAATGCAAAGGTACATCGGAATTAGTACTAGGCTACTTCTCCAGGGAATTGTCGTTTTATTGAACGAGGAACTTCAGAAACGAATGTTTGAATTGATTTCGTATTTTAAAATATTTGAGCCCAAGTAAAACATTACTCTTTAAAGCACATTTAAGAGGTCACAAACACTGTTTAAACAAAGGTAGACATTAAATCGATTAGCTGCACAAATCAATGAATGCCCTGCCAACTATTTGAAAGCCTATCAAAAACCCGTTAATCCAATAGTAATGGGGACGGGAATAGAAAACCATAGTTTCTTATTCCATAGACCCCAATTATTAGGAAAATAAAGAAGTTTTTGTTAAGCTTAACAGTCCTGTTTATTTCTGAAAACGAGAAAATAATTTTTTAGTCAGTGGAAAGGAATGCAAAATGATTGCATTTTTCTTTTACAAGGCTAATCAGGAAGTAACCAAAAATAATGCGATCCATGAGAACTGGGCATTTTCATCAAAGCAAGCTAATTGTTCGGAAAGGATATTTAAGAACTGTATCTTTTTACTTAAAATTAACTGGGTCAATGCAGGGTTCTTAAAAGAACAACGCCAATGATAAAGCTTGATTACAATGCTTCTCAACGACTGCAAAACGATTACTGGACGAGCCGTTAAAGAAACCGAGGAACAATCGGAATTCGTAGTTGCAAGACCTTCTAAATTAAGTCGAATTTTTTTTTTTACTCCTTTTCAGCAACACCTTCCTCAGCTCCTTACTAAGATATAAGGTTTTCACGGACGGAAAACTAAACCGAATTATTCAACTATACTCTTCTAAGAGAAAGCAAAAAATCGCTACGAGACTGCCCTCATCACATCCTATCCCTTATGGACACCGCCTTTTGGACCCAACACTTTTCATAGACGACCTCGATCCCAGCCCCTCCCTTTCGCACCGCGAACACAATTTCCCCAAGCCCTAATGAAACAATATAAATCACTAATCAGAGTGAGTAGCCTAAACTGGAGGCAGTTCTGTGGACCGAAAGGTACATTAAGCTGAGAAAGAGAAGAGGAAAGTTCTGGGAAAAAAAGGCACTCCCTGCAGCTCCCCACCCCCATCGACACCGCCTTGTTCCCCATCGACACCGCCTTGTTCCCCCTCCCTACAGCAGGCAGCCATGATGGCGGGCGCAGAAGGCCGCGGCGCCATTTTGTCCACACACACACGCGCGGACAACTGCTCTAGCAGCCGTTCATCCACTCTTTGGAGAGTAGCAGAAAAACATCCCTGGCATTGAACCCAGATTCGGCACTTACCTCCATAGTCCTGAGTCTTGGCCGCTAAGGCGGCGACTCCTCGGGTCGCTCTCAACAGTACCGGCCGTACCGACACAGACGATTCGTCCGCGAGAAAGACCCGGATGGCACAAAGGGGTTGAGGCCCGGCGCGTCGCACAGCTTGCTGGGAGGAAAAGGGGTGGTGATATGGGTTTCTATAGCAATGCAGCCTGGGTCGGTGATTGGTTGTTCTTTTGAAGGGGGCGTGTAAGGCCAGGGAAGGGGAGGAACCAACAATACACCCTAAAATGTTCATCCAGGAGATCTTATTAAGTAGAATTTAGGGTGGGGCAACTTCCTATTTCGATTCTAAAGTAAATTTGGCCTCCTCCGGCCGCCGTAAAAGGGGTTGGGCTTGATGTTATCCCGCCAATTTAAACCTGTGGGATGGACCCTGGAGAGATTGAGGGTGGTTGTGGGAGTCGGCAAGTAGGGCTGTGAAGTTGTGTCCTTCTTTAGTTTCTTCGATTGCAGGTGAGGAGCTGGGGGTGGGTTCAAGTCCAAGCAGCAGCTGCTTCAGCTCATTTTGAGTGTTTTTCCCTCAAGACGCTGGCGGAAGAGAGGTCGAAGTCGGTTCTTTCTGGCTCTGGTGTCCAGCTGAGAGCATTTATGCTGCGTGGCCTAACTAACGCCGTTTCACTCCACTTGATTCGCTAATCTCTGTTCTCAGCAGCCAGAGTGATCTCAAATCGTCAGCGAAAACATGTCACTCTCCTTAATATCTTTCCCCTCTGGCACTGATCATAAAACACAATCTTAAAGTCAAGGATTCCTTTCTATCCCGTACTTTCCGTTCTTGCTTTGTGGCCCGGCAGCAGCCCCAAACTCATTCCAGTTCTGAACCTTTGTCCTCAGCCTGCAACCTCTTCCCCTGGAGCTTTGCATAATTGGTATCTTGCTATTGGGTCTCAGCTCAAATGTCATCTTTTCTTCCCAAACAGGTCCTCCTCAGGAGACTCTCTACTTTGCGTTTACTTATTTTTTTCGTTGAGAGGCAGTATAACAGTTAATAAATAGCAGCCGTGGATCTTGTTTAGCTGAATAATTTGTTTACTCTCTTGAGGTGACATTGGCCGTTTATTGAATCCCTGACTCGTGTTTCAAAGTTGTAAAATAGGTTGTGCAGATCAAAAGTCTTTTGCGTACTCAGGAGGTGTTAACTGTTTTGTCTGTCCTTATGCAAGAATATAAACTAAACAATGACAAAGACATTTTCTGTATTCTTCACGGCTCTATTGCCAGCTCCTAGAACACTGCCTGTCACACAGTAAGCATTCCAATAAACATTTGTTGAATGAGTGTGATAGGCCTGGGAGGCTGATAATACTTCCCAGTTTTTACAGATGTGAAACACTGAGCCCCATAAAAGGATTCACTCCAACCTAACCCTCCTTTCTTAACCCCCTCCCAGCTCCCACCTAAACAAACACCAGCCACTAAAACTATTGTCTAACATGCATTGTTGCCATACCCTTGCTTACATTTTTAGTATGAACTCTTCTCCTGTATTTTAAAAGCTACTGTTAAATTCTTAGCCCAAATGTTACCTGCTTCCACCAATAACAATAATAAGTTAACACTTAAAATTGAGTGAGTGCATTGTTCTGTTAACATTTAAAACTCAACCGTTTCAGGTAGGTACAACTATCTTCCTATTCTATAAATTAGAAAGTTGAGGAACATAACGATTAAATTGATAGCTCAAAGACAACTGGCTAGTAAATGTGAAAGAGCACCAAGTCAAAAATCATTCCTACTCTGTGCTGTATTCCTTCCATGGATTTTAAAACATTTCTGCTAGCACTTATCAAAACAATTGTAATTATTTGGTTATTTTTCCGTACCGGTCTTGATCCAGAGATTGTTTTGTTTTAGTATTCTACTCCCACCCAGATCACACATAAGATGAGTTACATAAATCTTTGCTGATGAGATGGTTAAGTGACTCTCTTACAGTTACAAGCATACTCTTTGGTCCAATAAGAAACTAATCCAGTTTTTTCCTGCTCCCCTTATCATTTTCTTTTATACAATAATACTGGAAACATTAATATAAACATTTTCTTTAAAGTTCACCTGCAATCCTAGCATCCTGAGATAGTCTGACTTCAAAGCTTTTGTTATTTATTGCCATATTGATTAAAGGTTTATTCCACCTGAGAACTTGTTAAGTCTTTACTGATATATGTATTTTTTTTATTATGCCTTTTCATTTCCCAAGGAACTGGTTTCTATGCAACTATAATTTGGTCTCTAATTTCACATGTCACAGGGAAGGCAGTGGTTTTGGCTCAGGAAAGTAAACTCAGAAACATGTGGAATGATATTGAGCTACTAACAAGTGAAGACACAGGAAGTGGGTATCTAAGTGTTGGTTCAAGAAAAGAACACGGAACTGCTTTATATCAAGTAGATTTGCTAGCAAAGATCTCCTCCGAAAAGGTAATGATTATGATGCTGTTTTCATTCATAAAATTTTTACTGAATGCTTAGTAAGCCATAGTAGCCACATGGTAAATGTTTCATGAATGAATATTGCACTTCCTCAGGGAATCAAGATTCAAGCCCAGATGCCTAGAATATCCATCTGAATTTTCCTTGCATCATCTTAAGGTCATTATTTCCAAAACTGAACATTTCAGAGCTCCTCTTGATATTTTGGGCATACAGAATATATACAAAATGATACGAAGAATATCTACCACCAGCTTATGAAATAAAATATTGCCAACAAAGCTGAAGCCCTGGAGTCCCTGGGGCACACCATAGTGCCCCACCCTGTCATGTCCCAGATGCTGAGAGTTCAGTCTTGGTTCATTCATTTATGTTAGGGCCTACTGGCTCCTACAGGCATAATAAGATCAACCCTTAGGAAACAAAGACTTGGACAGGGGATTCTTTTGCCCTTTCCTAGCAATCCTGGAGTATTTCCCTATTTGGACTCTGAATGGATTCAAGATATCCCATACAAAGAAAAACTTGACTAATTATATGTATGGGCTAGAGGAAAAAAGACTCATCAAGTTTTAAAGTTTGGTGCTTGGGACTACGCTGATACAGTTGGTAAGTTTTGTTAAACATATATAAAAGTGTTTTATTTTAGTCATGATTTTCCCTCCCACAGGCCTCATTAAATCCAAAGATACAAGCATGCAGCTTAAGTGATGGGTTTATTATCGTAGCAGATCAATCAGTGATACTGCTTGACAGAATTTGTAGATCGCTTCAATTGCATCTTATATTTGGTAAGTCTAATGTAATTGTGATAAGATAAATTGAAAGTCAACTATATCTCACTGCCAGTTACTACTGCATTGCTTTTTCTTTATTCCATTATTTCTAAGACTCAAAATTAGACTAATTTCAAAAATTAATCTTGAGTGCTTTTTTTGTGCTGAGTACTAGACACAAAGGATAGTAAGATGAACCTTTTTCTCAGTCTAACGGGAAACATGTAAAACAGCAATTTACTTACTTGCATGGTTTTGCATTAGAATATCGTAGAAAATGGTTGAGCCTGATTGGTTCAAGTTGCTGAATCTTGTACATATTTCAGTATCAACAGATATTTGAATACTTTTAAAATGTTTGGCACTGTAAAAAGCTTTTTAAATACTTATGAATTCTTTATTTAGTTAAAGGGCTTTATGTAAATGCAAATATGGACTTAAGAGTAAATTGAGGGACAAGTCTGTGATTGTGTTGGAAAATAGATGGAAATACTGTGAAAGCTTTTCTGCAATTTTGAGAGATGGTTGTTCAAGTGTTTGTGTAAGAACTTAGGCAACGATAAGGAATCAGCAGGTATGCATATGAGAATGAAATCTCAGTTGCAATATAGAGGCAAGAAATTAATATTTCATGGAATCTTAATGTAAGTACTCTGGATTGGCCCACAAGATTCACAGTTTCACCAATGGCATAGTGGGCTGTGTTAACATATAATACATTTGTACAAAGTTATTGCTACTGAATAATTTTAGTTCATAAGCCATTTACATGATTCTGCTTTTATCTCTCTTTTCCCCCTTTGGCCTCCATTTCAATCCCCTGATGTTCTTGCAGGTGTACAAACAAGCACTTCCTCACCCCCTTCGAGTCTTCTGTATCTCACTTGAAGAGTGCTATCCTAAGCACTCTTCACACTGCAACGTGCATGACTCTTCTGGGCTCTTTCCCTGCTCTACTTTTTCTTTTTTCCAGAGAATTTATCAGCTTTTTAAATGTCATATAATTTATTTTGCTAATTGTTTATCATCTTTTTCTGCCTTAGAATTTGTGCTACATGAAGGTGGGACTCTTAATATTTTCAGATGCAAAAGGCCTAGAACAATGCTTAGCATAGAATGAGTGCTCAGTAAATGTTTGTTGACTGAACAACAGTCAGTGGCATCTTTTTTACTTTAATCACCACTTTTTGGAAATATTTAAAGGAGGCTTGAAGAATGGACTTTAATAACAACAGTTGTAATTTATTTTTGCATTGACAAACATTTTTAAAGGAAGCTTGTAACTTTGGTTTGACATTTTCAGATACTGAAGTGGATGTAGTTGGCCTATGTCAAGAAGGAAAGTTTCTTTTGGTTGGGGAGAGAAGTGGCAACTTACATCTTATTCATGTAACATCAAAGCAAACATTACTCACTAACGTAAGACCCTGTTGTGTTTTTCAGTTTTGTTATCTAAATTCTAAATTATCTCTTAGGCAACTAAAGCTCTAGCAAATCTTTACTTAATTGGTGTTTTAAATTAAAAGAATGTTTCCTTATACTAAATTTAAGAATCATACTTAGGAACATATGAAGTAAGTACAAAATTGAAAAATTAAGTTATGACGATATTCTTACTGTGCTTGTCCAAAGTAGTTTTCCATTTTAAAACTAAAACATTCGGAATATAAGCAGAATTATTGCTAATGATAACTGATAACTCGGGTTTAAGGAGCATAATCCTTGATTGTATTTTTCTGGATTTTAATCATATCATTTGAAATTAATTTGCAATTAGGCTTTTGTTCAGAAAGCTAATGATGAAAATCAATATACTTACCGGAATCTTGTTATTGAGAGAGATGGTTTGAGTGAAGGTAAGTGTTTTGAATTTTTTTAATGTCTTCTAATAATAAAAAAATCAGACTTACAGTTAATAAGTTCTATAAATTCATTGTTAATAAGAAAATTAATTCATTGCTATGCCTTCACAATGTTAAACTTTCTCGGGATGCAATAAATATTACTGTAAGAAATGTTTTTTATTTTAGCTCTTTTCAGAAGTTTAAATGTACTTTTCCTAATTATATCTAAACTCACTTTTACAGTTTTGAGAGTTCTCTAGATTATCAAGGAGACATTATATTTACTTAAAATATCTTTGTGGGTTTTGGCACATTTATCATATTTTCATTTCAACAAATATTAGTTGGACCTTAATTTATTTTGGTATATCTGAGATTTCCTTTTTCTCTGGCAAGTGAAATTTGATTTGATTTATAAAGGTTTTAAAGACATTACCATTGTTTTTGCAAATAACTTACCAATTCTTTATAAATAAGCTTTATTTGCATGATTACTATATTGATGATTAGAATTAAAATGAAATTGACATATTTTAAAACTAGGCCAAGACACTGGTTTAAATTTAATATCCATGTGCCTTTTAGAGAAACCAGCTTGATTTTATTTCAATAGGTACCTATTACATGCTGCTGCTTACCAACAATGGGTTTTTTTGTATTACAAACCTTCAGCTTGGGAAAATTCAACAAGGTAAGGTATTATTTTCTTGTTGCTGATTTGCAGCAGTTTTTCTCATTATTTTCCTGATAAATTTTTAATATTCTCTTTAAGAATATTATTTTAGTTTACATCCTATGATACTGGAATATGTTTAAGTATTCATAATATTCACATTCTCTGCTGTTAGGGCTGCAGCAAAATCTGAAGAAACATAATTTGCTTATAGCCTTCATGGAGTCTGCAGTTTAGTTGGGGACAGAACACATACACTAGTGTAATAATAAATGCTTTTTGATGGAATGAATGAACTTGGAAATGGAAATAACTATGTAAGTGTTAAAAATACAGGGCAGTAATTTTTTTTTTATAGGAGCGTGTCAGTTTTATTGCTTTTGCATTTTTTTTTTATTAAAGTATTGATACACAATCTTAGGATGGTTTCACATGAACAACCTTGTGGTTTCAACATTCACCCATATTATCAAGTCCTCAACCCCCCCATTGCGGTCACTGTCCATCAGCGTAGTAAGATACTATAGAGCCTTCTATGTGCTGAACTGCCTTCCCTGTGACCTACCTATATTGCGATGCTGATTTTAGTGCCCCTTAATCCCCTTCTCCCTTCCCAACCCCTCCTCTTTGGTAACCGCTAGTCCCTTCTTGGAGTCTGTGAGTTCCTTCAGTTTTGCTTTGTTGTTATACTCTACAATGAGTGGAGTCATTTGGTACTTGTCTTTCTCCACCTGGCTTATTTCACTGAGCATAATACCTGTGGCTCCATCCATGTTGTTGAAAATCATAGGATTTCTTTTCTTTTTATGGCTGAATAATATTCCATTGTGTATATATACTACATCTTCTTGATCCATTCATCTACTGATGGACACTTAGGTTGTTTCCATATCTTGGCTATTGTAAATAGTGCTGCAGTAACCATAGGGGTGCATGTCTTTTTGAATCTGTGATCTTGTTTTCTTCAGGAAAATTCCTAGGAGTGGAATGACTGGGTCAAATGGTATTTCTATTTTTAGTTTTTTGAGAAACCTCCATATTGCTTTCCACAAGGGTTGAACTAATTTACATTCTCACCAACAGCGTAGGAGGGTTCCCCTTTCTCCACATCTTCGCCAGCATTTGTTGTTTCTTATCTTTTGCATGTTGGCCATCCTAACTGATGTGAGGTGATATCTCATTGTGGTTTTAATTTGCATTTCCTTGATGATTAGCCATGTGGAACATTTTTTCATGTGCCTGTTGGCCATCTGAATTTTTTCTTTGGAGAAGTGTCTGTTCAGATCCTCTGCCCATTTCTTAATTGTGTTATTTGTTTTTTTGGGTGTTGAGGCATGCAAGTTCCTTTAACCAGGGCCGTATTCTTTAGGACATGTTAAGGGAGTGGTGTGGACCATTCACCCCTCTGAGCTGGGAGAGATTGAGGAGTTGGTTTGAGGCATGTATTCAACAAATCTTTTTTTTTAATCTAGCATGTGTGGTGTGGGGGCGGGGGTCACAGGGAAGACAGTGTAGCACAGAGAAGACAAGTAGTGTCATCTTACTATGCTGATGGACAGTGACTTCAGTGGGGTATGGGGGGGACTTGATAATATGGGTGAATGTAGTAACCACAGTGTTCTTCATTGAAACCTATAAGAGTGTATATCAGTGATAACTTTAATAAAAAAAAATCTAGCATGTGCCAAAATGTGCAAGATCCAGGGGATACAATAATATTTAAGATACATAGTCCTCCATAGTTTAATTGGGGAACTAGAAAAGTAAGAGTGCTTCCAAAACAGAGTGTAGTGATGCAGACTTTACAGTGGGACTTCAGAGCTTGAATCATACTGGAGCAGGGAGAGGGCCTTTTTAGCAGGAAGAAACATAAGCACTACAGGACTGTCGTCACAGTTCATGTCACTAGGCAGGGGCAAAACTGACAAATCCCCACTGCTTTATTAAGTTCTAACCAGTGTTCTTCACACCAGATTGTTATCACTTCACTTTGACACAGAAGGGGTGACTTGTATATACTTATAAGTTAATAATATACATTTAGCCTGCTTTCCCTTTTTCATGCAGCGATTGAGAATGTAGACTTCAATATGGCAAAAAAGGTAAGAAAACAAAACCACATTGTCATCTTGAACCTTAGATTTAATGTAAGTTTAGGACAATGTTCCTGGGTATGATTATCTACTGGTTGATATTTTGGGAATTAGCCTGATAAAACATTTTAATAACATTTGTATTTAAAAATACATTTATAACTGATTGATTTAAGCTGATTTTTATCTGGCTTTCTAAGGAATTTGGATTGTGGAACATATATATAACATTCTTATTTTTAAATTTTGCAGTTACAAGGACAGATCAAATCCAGTTTTATTTCTACTGAAAATTATCATACTCTTGGTTGTCTCAATCTTGTGGCTGGAGATTTAGCAAGTGAAATCCCTGTGATAATTGGGGTAATTCTTTTTTTAAAATTTTGTTTTGTGCTTCTTCATTAAAACATTATAGTTGTGGTTAAATAACAAATTAACTTTAAATGTGTAACAGAAACAGGGAAATTATAAAATTAAGGTCATAAAAGTAACTCACTAAGTAAACCTAGGCTTCAATGTTGGAAAATATACCCATCTTTATTTTCACTAATCTCTATCTGAAATTTCCTTCAATTTTGAGTATAGGCAAAACAACAACAAATAAAACATGTAATATATTCAAGAAGTAGGCAAAAAATTCGACATAATTATATTTACAACATTTTTACTTGCCAAAATTATAAGTTGAAAAGCACATATCCGGTGGAGGGGGGTATGGGGAAGGCGAGTAGTGATTCTGTAGCATCTTACTACGCTGATGGACAGTGACTGTAATGGGGTATGTGGTGGGGACTTGATAATGGAGGGAATCTAGTAACCACAATGTTGCTCGTGTAATTAATTATACCAAAATAAAAAAAAAAAGCACATTTCCCCTTTTTGTATCTAGTTCAATATTTTACCAGAATTTCAAATAATTTTAAATTAATATTTATGAAGTTTTTCAATTATTTGTGGTTATTTTAATGAAAATACTTAAAGACTATCTCATAATACTAGAAGAGATCTTAAAAGACTCTTTGTCTTTAGAGTGAGTTACCTGAACATGCTTGCTCCTTATTAAAATAATCAGGTGATAACAATGAACTGCAACAGTTCACTATTCTTTCCACTCTTCTGTGGACAATAAACTAAGAGAGGAACCGGAAGATACAATTTATTTGTTCTTGAATACATAGATATATTTTTTAATTAATGTGTACAATTTAGGTGTTTCTACTTTGAGAAGAATTCAGATCTAAGAACCAAATGCAATTGATGTACTGTTTTCACTTCTGCAGGGAACTGGTAATTGTGCATTCTCAAAATGGGAACCAGATTCTTCCCAGCAAGGAATGACAGTTAAAAATGTTATTGATGCAGAGATTATTAAAGGTAAATTAAGTTGAATGAAATTAGCTTTGGTAATTTTTAGTAAGTTTAATTTTCAGTTCTAATTTTAATACCTAATCTGGCACATGGACCATTTTGCTCTACCACTCTGAAACAAAATTATTTTGATAATTGTCCACATACATGACTGTTGATGTGTTGTAATTGTTACTCTTCACTTTGGCGGTTTTAAATTTTAGTGGAAATATAGAAGCAGGAACAGATGAGAGTGGGAACTTTTTGTTTAAATGTAGCTCTGCCTTTCCATAAATATGTTAGCTTACTATTCAAATATGGTTATATGTAATGGAGAAATGTAATTCTAACACACCTTGCTTCCTCTCTTTTAGGTGCAAAGAAGTTCCAGCTGATAGACAATCTACTTTTTGTCCTTGATACTGATGTATGTTTCTGACATTTCCCCTTCAATGTTTTCACTTGGTATTATATTTAGCAACAAACATGTCATCAAAGTTACAAAGACAAGGACTTTAGCTGGGGTGGTTTACTATCTTGTGTACTGTGCTTTATTTCAATGTACATATCAAAAGATGGATCATAAAAATTTTAATTTTTAGTCATTAGGAAGATGTATCAGTGAAATGTCTCTTTTGCAGAACGTGCTGAGCTTATGGGATATTTACACTCTGACTCCCATATGGAATTGGCCCTCTGTTCACGTAGAAGAGTTTCTTCTTACCACAGAAGCAGATTCTCCTTCATCAATCACGTGGTATGTCATGATGCTGATAGTGGTTACTTGCCTGGTTCTGTTCAGATCATTTTGTATTGCACTCTAAGTTACACCAAACAGATTGACAAACTAAGGTCCAATTTCATTGTTGGCCATGTCCATGGAGAACAAATAGGCAATAAGAAACTCCCAGTGATTCTGTTAAAGAGTGTCAGTCTGAGCCATAAACATGAGAAATCAACTTTGATATCTTCTATGGGAATCAGTTTTAACTTTTATATAAGAATATCACTTCTACTTATTTCTAGCAGTTGGCAAAGCTTATTTGATTCACTTAAACCTTTTCTCTTACAGGCAAGGGATTACAAATCTCAAATTAGTCGCTCTGACAACTATTAAGAAGGTATTGGAAAATATTATTTCACATTTGTCCCAATAAATGTTAGAAATAGCATTCCCTCACACAAAAGTAGCTGAGTGGTGCCCACAGCATTTTAACTCTTGATTCATATAGACCCTTGGCAAATCAGAAATAATCCCGCAGTGTTCTTTTTCCCATTAAAAAAAAAGATGGATATAAATCTCACTCTGCATTTTTTTTTACGTTTTGGAATTCCTTCATGTGGAATTTTATTTTATTATTTTTGCCTTTTCTGCCACATTATTACTTGTTTGGAACACATCACCGTAAACCCTGAGACTGGGATGTCATTGATTGGATTAGCCAATTGAGACTTGACGCTCACTCCGTATTTTAAACACAGCATTTCAGGAGTAAAAATGCCCACAAGAAAATGTTGTTTAGAGTGAGTCTTAAATAGTTATGGCACTGGGGAATTATATTCACCTTAAATACAAATTGTAGAATGGACTTCAGGTATGTAGATTTTCATTGAACAGATTTGGAAGGTGGAATAAAACATGGGTTTACATGTAACAAATAATACAGTAACAGACCAATGTTGTAACATTATTTTTTGCATTTAGCTCTATACAAGGTGTTTTAATCCAGGACCTAGATTGTGAAGTGCTGTCTTATGCTCCTATGGTTATATTGACCTACTCAATTGCGCTACTGTTTTTCTTAGGTGAAAAGCCTCATGGTTTATTTATTACCTACAATGGAAATATTGTATTGTTTGGAAGTATCTAGTGTTTCTTCTCTGGTCCAAACAGGAATTAGCACAGTAAGTTGATGTATATTTTGAACTACCTAATAATAAAAAATGCTAAGCTGAGCAAAAGTGAAAGCTGGTGGAATACTTGGATAGATCTCAGGATTCTGTAGCATCTTACTACGCTGATGGACAGTGACTGTAATGGGGTATGTGGTGGGGACTTGATAATGGAGGGAATCTAGTAACCACAATGTTGCTCGTGTAATTAATTATACCAAAATAAAAAAAAAAAGCACATTTCCCCTTTTTGTATCTAGTTCAATATTTTACCAGAATTTCAAATAATTTTAAATTAATATTTATGAAGTTTTTCAATTATTTGTGGTTATTTTAATGAAAATACTTAAAGACTATCTCATAATACTAGAAGAGATCTTAAAAGACTCTTTGTCTTTAGAGTGAGTTACCTGAACATGCTTGCTCCTTATTAAAATAATCAGGTGATAACAATGAACTGCAACAGTTCACTATTCTTTCCACTCTTCTGTGGACAATAAACTAAGAGAGGAACCGGAAGATACAATTTATTTGTTCTTGAATACATAGATATATTTTTTAATTAATGTGTACAATTTAGGTGTTTCTACTTTGAGAAGAATTCAGATCTAAGAACCAAATGCAATTGATGTACTGTTTTCACTTCTGCAGGGAACTGGTAATTGTGCATTCTCAAAATGGGAACCAGATTCTTCCCAGCAAGGAATGACAGTTAAAAATGTTATTGATGCAGAGATTATTAAAGGTAAATTAAGTTGAATGAAATTAGCTTTGGTAATTTTTAGTAAGTTTAATTTTCAGTTCTAATTTTAATACCTAATCTGGCACATGGACCATTTTGCTCTACCACTCTGAAACAAAATTATTTTGATAATTGTCCACATACATGACTGTTGATGTGTTGTAATTGTTACTCTTCACTTTGGCGGTTTTAAATTTTAGTGGAAATATAGAAGCAGGAACAGATGAGAGTGGGAACTTTTTGTTTAAATGTAGCTCTGCCTTTCCATAAATATGTTAGCTTACTATTCAAATATGGTTATATGTAATGGAGAAATGTAATTCTAACACACCTTGCTTCCTCTCTTTTAGGTGCAAAGAAGTTCCAGCTGATAGACAATCTACTTTTTGTCCTTGATACTGATGTATGTTTCTGACATTTCCCCTTCAATGTTTTCACTTGGTATTATATTTAGCAACAAACATGTCATCAAAGTTACAAAGACAAGGACTTTAGCTGGGGTGGTTTACTATCTTGTGTACTGTGCTTTATTTCAATGTACATATCAAAAGATGGATCATAAAAATTTTAATTTTTAGTCATTAGGAAGATGTATCAGTGAAATGTCTCTTTTGCAGAACGTGCTGAGCTTATGGGATATTTACACTCTGACTCCCATATGGAATTGGCCCTCTGTTCACGTAGAAGAGTTTCTTCTTACCACAGAAGCAGATTCTCCTTCATCAATCACGTGGTATGTCATGATGCTGATAGTGGTTACTTGCCTGGTTCTGTTCAGATCATTTTGTATTGCACTCTAAGTTACACCAAACAGATTGACAAACTAAGGTCCAATTTCATTGTTGGCCATGTCCATGGAGAACAAATAGGCAATAAGAAACTCCCAGTGATTCTGTTAAAGAGTGTCAGTCTGAGCCATAAACATGAGAAATCAACTTTGATATCTTCTATGGGAATCAGTTTTAACTTTTATATAAGAATATCACTTCTACTTATTTCTAGCAGTTGGCAAAGCTTATTTGATTCACTTAAACCTTTTCTCTTACAGGCAAGGGATTACAAATCTCAAATTAGTCGCTCTGACAACTATTAAGAAGGTATTGGAAAATATTATTTCACATTTGTCCCAATAAATGTTAGAAATAGCATTCCCTCACACAAAAGTAGCTGAGTGGTGCCCACAGCATTTTAACTCTTGATTCATATAGACCCTTGGCAAATCAGAAATAATCCCGCAGTGTTCTTTTTCCCATTAAAAAAAAAGATGGATATAAATCTCACTCTGCATTTTTTTTTACGTTTTGGAATTCCTTCATGTGGAATTTTATTTTATTATTTTTGCCTTTTCTGCCACATTATTACTTGTTTGGAACACATCACCGTAAACCCTGAGACTGGGATGTCATTGATTGGATTAGCCAATTGAGACTTGACGCTCACTCCGTATTTTAAACACAGCATTTCAGGAGTAAAAATGCCCACAAGAAAATGTTGTTTAGAGTGAGTCTTAAATAGTTATGGCACTGGGGAATTATATTCACCTTAAATACAAATTGTAGAATGGACTTCAGGTATGTAGATTTTCATTGAACAGATTTGGAAGGTGGAATAAAACATGGGTTTACATGTAACAAATAATACAGTAACAGACCAATGTTGTAACATTATTTTTTGCATTTAGCTCTATACAAGGTGTTTTAATCCAGGACCTAGATTGTGAAGTGCTGTCTTATGCTCCTATGGTTATATTGACCTACTCAATTGCTCTACTGTTTTTCTTAGGTGAAAAGCCTCATGGTTTATTTATTACCTACAATGGAAATATTGTATTGTTTGGAAGTATCTAGTGTTTCTTCTCTGGTCCAAACAGGAATTAGCACAGTAAGTTGATGTATATTTTGAACTACCTAATAATAAAAAATGCTAAGCTGAGCAAAAGTGAAAGCTGGTGGAATACTTGGATAGATCTCAGGTTTATAACTCTATTACTGTCAGAGGTCCTCAGATAACAGTTGCTGAAGGTCATTCTTTGTCTAAGAAAAAAAGGCAAATTACTGAAATAACATGAGTCGTCTGCTTATTATATCTCTATGGGAATGTAAATGATAATTTTGGGGGAGGGTTGCTTTTATCTTTCTTTTAATTATGATATTGTTAAGGAACATTTTATTTGTTTATTCTCTATATACACACACTATGTTTTTCCACACCATTTGGAAATTAGCTGCAGACATCATGACTTGTCACCCCTAAAATGCTTCAGGTATCTCCTAAGAATAAGGCATTCTTCTATAACACAGTTATTACTCAGAAAATTTAACTACAATACTATTATGAAATATACCATGGAAATTCAAGTTTCACCAATTATGCAAATTACTTTAAAGCTGTTTTTCATTCCTGATCCAGGATCCAATCAAGCATCATACATTTAATTTCTTTCTATGGTCACACGGTAGTCTGCTTTAACCTTTTAACTGTTCCCTTGTCTTTTTTATCTTTTGGGAGATTGACGTTTTTGAGTCCTAGCCTGTTGTATTGTAGTATGTCCTATATTTGAATCTGTCTGGTTGTTTCATCATAAGATTCATGCTAAGCTTTTTGGCAAGAATACTGCATAGGTAACACTGTCCTAATTGCATCACATTAAGGGTCTCATGTCCTTTTGTCCTATTATTGCTGATGTTAAATTTGATCACTGAGTTAAGGCAGTTCTGCCAGATTTCTCCAGTGAAAAGTACATTTCTCCTTTTCTAATTAGCAAGTAAGTTCTGTTGCACTATTTTGAGACAGGGAATACCTTTTTCCCAACAGTTTTTCCCTGTGATTTTCAAATCCATCAGTGAATAGTTCTTACCTTAAATCAGCTGTTTCTTTAGTATAAAAAAAAATGTGTTAATTCTATATTTCAATTGAAAATGAGTTTTTGCTTTTGTAGGATACCATATACCTTCTGGAAGGAATTTGCAAAAATGATCCAAAGTAGGTCATGTTTTTTTTTATTTAATCATATAAGCTATTAAATGACAGTTAAGTTCAAATTTATTTATTAATATAAATGGCAAATACACTAATAGTGGAAACTTTCTTTCAGACTGTCTGAAGACTCAGTCTCTGTTTTAGTACTCAGGTGTCTTACCGAAGCTTTACCAGAAAACAGGTAACTTCTCATTTTCTTTCGTACCTTACCCCTTAATGAAAAACTTAAATTCCCCATTAATAAAAGTTTTACTGAAATTTCCTTTTCAACTTACCAGATTGAGTCGGTTACTTCATAAACGTAGATTTGCCGAAGCGGAGAACTTTGCCCTTCAGTTTGGACTGGAGGTTGAGGTAATCACTGATGAGTTCTTTTGTTCACAGGACAAGCATTTCTTCATGTACTAGGCACTGGGATAACACACATGTAAAACAGAATTGGAATTTAGTGTAATCAAACCTATAATTAAGATCTAACCAAAGTAGAGTGGGGATCCAAAGGAGAGATTGATCATAGTGGGATGAAAGACTTCATGGAGGAGATAATTTTTATGTCAGATCTTAGAAGATGTTTCAAATAATCCAGGGAGAGGATGGGAATTGTAGGTATATGGACGTGTGAATAAAGTGAGAGAGGCTTATGGTGCTTCCAGGAACTCCTAATAGTCAGGTAGGACTAGAGTGGCAGCTATAAGTGCAAAGGAGTAAAAGGAGATGATGTTGGTGGGTGGGAGGCTGGAGAGCCTTGTATGGATTGCAAAGGATTTAGATTTTATTCTGCAGGTGATGGGGAGCTGCTGAGAATTGTAAGCAGGAGAGTGTCTTGATTAGGTTGTCATTCTGCAAAGGTGGAGAATTGTTTGAAAAGGGACTGACCAAAGGTATAAAGACCAACTGAGAGACAAAATAGCTTTCTCCAAGATACCTGAACTAGGGGGATATACAAAAGGGAGGGCCTGGTGAGAGAAGCCTGTAGGCAGTATGGTCAGTGGAACTTAGTGATCAAACCTGGGGAGAGACAATGGAGGGAATGGACCAGCAGGAATCTAGCTCAGCATGAGTGGGCTGGTGATGACATTACCTACAGTGAGGAGTATGTATGGAAGAAACCATCTGGGGCAGAAGTTGAAGGAATCTGCTTTATAAAAATCACTTGTAGGGGGTCTTGTAAAATGAGGCTGCCTGATAGGAAGTTGGAGAGTGGTCTGAGCAAAATCTAGAGGCATGTAATGTGAGAGGACTGGCTCAGACTGCTTGGAGAATGTGTAGAGTAAGATGACATCTGAGGATGAGATCCAGGGGTACCAGGATATGGGCAATACAGGAGGAAGGACTATAAATGTATTTGAGAAGAAATAAACGAGGAAAACCTCAAGAATGTATGATTATGGAAACCAGAGAAGGAGACATTTAAAGTTGAGTGGGGCGTGACCAGCAGTTTCAAATACTAAAGATAAAATCAAGTGTAAAAACTGAAGGATGTCTTTTGGCTTTGGCAATTGGGAGGTCACTTGATATCCCTTGGAAGAAGGTCTGGGAAGTAATGAAGGAGAAAACTTGATTGTAGTAGAAAATTAACATTTCCTAAGTGGGTAGTGGGTAAACTTGTGTCTGTTTTAAAAATGTAACATTTTGAAACATGCAAAACAGTTTTGTATACTGTTTAGAAAGGCATATAAGTAAAGGGACAAGGAAATTACTGGAATAATAAGCAAGAAAATCAGAACAATGGAGACTGGTTGGGGGAGAGAATGATAGATTTGGAAGAAGAGAAAGGGGTCTTAATCTATTTTGGTAATATCCTGTAGTTTTTTTTAAGTTGGATGATGAGTATGTGAGCATTTGTTGTATAATTAACCTTTCTGAGCATCAGAAAGTTTCATAATAACTAATTTTTAAAAAGACTAAATGGACCAAAAAGTCAAAATCTGTGAAAGCAATTTTCACAGTTGAAAAACCCTTTCTTAATACTTTTAGTCTTCAGAACCAGAGTGCCCATGTCAAAGCAAGCATTGTGTTTATAAAAAAGGAACCTGAATATGTCTAACTCGGGTATTTCTAACTCATACTGTTTCTAGCTGCTAAAGAGCCTTCACAGACTTAGAAAACTAGGCATGAAATATAATCATGTGATCATCTTAAAAACCAGTTCCACCACTTTTCAACTGCATGATTTTAGTCACAGTACTTAACCTCATGAGTCTCACTTATCTTGGTTGCAAAATGGGGATATTAGGATTTACCCCCATAGGGTTTTGATGAGTTGTAAATGCTTGCTTAAGTTTTTATGAGAATTAAATTACAAAATTCTCATAAAGCTCTTAGTGCAATGCTTGACACATTTAGTAAGGACTCAGTAGAAATAGTTTCCATAACTCTTAATCTGATTACCTTTGGGTTATTAAGTGTCACCTTCTTTACCACTTATTCCTGGACCACATGAAGATTCACCTGTGTTCATAACAGTTTGATGCACACAGCCTACAAAGTCATCCATGGTATTTTGCTTCAAGGTGCTTGATGTGGCATGTTTATATTACAGCTTGTTTACAAGGTAAAAGCAAATGATATTTTGGAGAAACTGGCTTTGAGTTCTGTGGACACCAGTGAGCAGACTGAATGGCAAAAACTTATAGAGGAAGCTAAGGAAAATCTACATAAAATCCAGGTGTGTTTTCCCTGTCATGTACTAGAGTATCCAGACTTACGATTGATCACCATTAGGTTGTCTTACTGTGTCTGGCATTTCTAAAACAGGATGATGAATTTGTGGTGAATTACTGCTTGGAGGCTCAGTGGATAACCTATGAAACGACCCAGGAAATGCTAAATTATGCCAAAACCAGGGTAGGTTTTTAAAACATTTGGACATGTTAGTTTGTC